CCAAAAAAACTCTGAACACTTGATTTATACCCATTTCTTCAGTTCAGCAAATTCATACCCGTGCATCAATTCAGCAAATCTGTAGATCTGGTTCTCAAGTCTTTATATTTTGACTTCTTGGTATATGAGCTTTGGTAGTTCATGTTCTAACCATCCTTTCTCCTGAATTTAATTTCTTAACAACCCTACCTCTATCGGTTTATGGGTCTAGGCCCACTCCAATTGCATTTGAATAGGGTAGGGGAGTGTAGGATGTTGAACCTGGCATGTTGCCAGGATTTTTTTTTTAACCTAATGCAGGTGTTTATTTTATGTATATGTTCATTGGTAGCATATGGGAGTTGCGTGTCTCAGTTGCCCTGGCCATATGGTGTGCTCCCCACATCTATGTAAATTGGTTATGGAAAACCCTGGAGGCAATTTTTATACAGTCCCCATGTCTACAATAACTAATGTCATAGAATATGTGGCATGATTTCTCAAATAAAATAAAAAGGGGCCAGGATTTGACTATATTGAGAATCCTGGACCCAACATCCTGTGTCTGCAAAAAAAAAAAGAAGAACTTGGTGGGTCAAAAGGTTTTGTCCATTAAAACATTCTGGGTCTCCAGCAGTTTCCGTGCCTCATTTTCCAACTATGCTAGAAGTACGTCAATATTAATACACAAGAAATTGCCATTTGAATGTTAACAATGCCTTTGACGTTGAAAGGTCAATATGCTATTCCCCAGAGCACCCTACTGTTTTTTTGACCATTGCATAAGCAGTTCCTAGAGATGGAATAATCTTGGTGTCAGGAAGTTTTCTTTCCAACCTAAAACATACAGGTCTTTCTTGAGACTGAACTTTGCAATTGCCACTAAAGCAATATTGACATGGGCACCCAGTGTAAATTATCTTTCACAATCAATATATCATATTCACTGCATGTCCAGCAGTTGAAAGACAAACTACAACTCATACACAGGGATTTCCTCAAATACCTTTTGTAACGGCACTGTTTAAACAGTTTGGATCCTTGTGTGAGACACTTAAAGCCAGATATTGGCGGTGTCATCACTAACACCTATAACCTACTACATCCCGCAGGACAACCCTTTAGTATCGCTTACGCTAAATGGCCAGAATATATATATCTGAATTAATCATGGACTATCAAATTGAGATAAAGCAAAAACTGGTTTTCAGATGTCATCAGTACGGCTCAGAGGCTGATCCAATATAAAAATTAGGGTTGCACAGATACCAAGTACAGTACTCGGTACAAGTACGAGTACATGTACCGATACTTTTGAGCTCCAAGACTACACTAGAGAAAAATTCAAAAATTAGGAGGCCGCTGTCATTTGTAAGGAGCACACAGAGCTCCTGGGATTTGTACATCTGTTTTAATGTACGATTTAGTTTTTATAAATAAAGTGATGCACAGATACCAGTTTTGCGAGTACGAGTACTGGTACTTGCCGAGTACTTACAAGTACGAGTACTGATACATTTTTGTTTATTGTCATGTGACAGTTTTTCTAAAACAATACCGACTAATGATTTCAGGACAGTGGTGGAGTGCCAGAGCCATGTCCCAGCTGCAACCTCTGCAACCCTTGTAGTTCATGAAAATGCCAAGTATCGGCACTGGTACTCGAAAAGTATCTGTGCATCCCTAATAAAAATTATACCTAGATTATGTAATACCCCATAGCATTTGCACAAAGTAGGCCTCCTTTCCAAAGGAACATGCCCAAGTTACATCAGTCATAATAGTCAGTCCTATTTCACCTCTTGTGGACTATATTGTATGAACATGTTCCTAAAATCTACAGGAAAGGGTTCATTTATTTCATGCCTGGAAAGTGATTCTATCCCACTTGAGGGACTCGAACATGATATCCATAGATCAGCAGAGTATCTTACCCAAATACAAGATCTGTTATGGGCCTGTTGCTACCCAAATTTGGTTTGATAAAATCTGGGGTTCATCACTGGTACAAACATCTATTGTCTCATAGGGAGATATACAGGGAGAATATATATATATATATAAAAATCAAAGTACAGGGAAATAAGTTTTACAACCAAAACAAAAAAAATCAGGATGAAACTAAAAAGGTTTTTTCCCCCTAACCTTGTTCAAATAATTTTTATTATTTTACGTTACTGTTGGGGTCTTCGGTGAAATAGCAGGGGGGTCTAAACAGACTCCTTTAAAATGGAAAAAGATTTGTGCATCCAGTTATAAAATGAACAGGAATCCTCTATACTGAGTGTTCCTGTTCATTCATTTATAACTTGTGGAGATAGTAAACATACTATCTCCACAATCATGAATGAACAGGAAGTGATGTAGAGATATTGTGTGACAGATCTATGCATACGCAAACTACATACTGTGTAGGGGAAAAAATTTCTAAACACAAAAAAGTCTGCAGAAAAAAATGGGGGGGGGGGAAGTTGCAAATGCATGGTATAGTTTAACATACTGTACTAGTGTTGTGAACGGGCCCTCAAAAACACAGACATGCATACAGACAACATTCTCTCACACACCCAAAAAGTTTTTTTTTTTTAAGGTCCACCCAGTATTTTCTACCTTACAAGAACTGGAGTGGATCCTCAGCCTGGTGTCCAGTGTGGGCTGCTGTGCTGTGAAAGAGCTCCATTCATATGTGCATTGCTTGTACACCTCCCATGTGTGCCCTGCAGAGGTGTCGGTAGCCAGAATGTGACGTCACTCTGGTCTATGCACCTCTACAGGGGCACATGCAGGAGCTGTAAGCAATACATGTATGGATGGAGGTCCCTCGCAGGCCATAGCCCAATCCCACCTCAAGCTGACATTTGGCTGATTGGCGCAAGAACTGAAAATGCTGTGCTTGGGGGAGGCAGGAGTCTCTCACCTAGAAAAGTGGAAGGCATGCAGCGACCCACTGAATACTGAAAGTACATGGTCCCATCGCACTACTGACCGCAAAAAATCCATCAGAGACGCGGGTGCTGCGGTAGTCAACGGGTGGCAGCCGTAACAATCATAAGCAGAAACAGACACCGGCACTCCAAATTGGCAAGCAAACGTCTATTTGGCGTGCAGCATAACAAAAAATAGCAACTAACGTTTAAGGGTCACAATGGATCCCCTTCATTAGGCAAAGCATTGATGAAGGGGATACTTTGTGACCCCAAAACATTAGTTGCTATTTTTTGCTATGCTGCACATCAATAAATAGACGTTTGCTTGCCAATTTGGAGTGCCGGTGTCTTGTTTGTGCCACTGGATACTGAGTCACGACCCACCGGTTGAGAAACACCCTTAATGCTCCGTTCACACCTAGGAGTCGGTGTTTTCACACATATTAGCTTGTGTTTTCGTGTAGCATGTTTTGCACACTTTGCGCTTGTTAAAATGCACACACACACGAAGACACGCATTTTAGCGGGCAGATTGAAAGGCATTTTTGTCAATGGACATACGCACGCAAAAAGCAAACATAGAAAAAAGGTGCAAACCGCTTGTGTCACTCATATCTTTTGAAGTCTACGAGGCCAAACGCAATGTAATCTGCCAAAAATCTCATGTACTTTTCAGTGTTTTCCAGCTTGCGACAAAATGCTCAGGTGTGAACAGGGGCCATTGAAATGAATGGGATTCTTGTGTTGAGTTTTGTCACGCTCATCTTTGAGCAAACGCCTTGGTGTAAATGGACTATAACAGCAAAAATCTAACAACCCTTAAAAGGGTAACTTTACTTTCTCAGGTGAATTTGGGAAAAATAAAAATTACCCCCTCTCCCCAACACTTCCTTCGGCACTCTACATGAAACCTGGGGGAGAAAAAAAAAAAAAAGGAGGAGGACACCAAAACTTTATTGAAGGCATTTATTAAAGGTTTACTGGTAAGTGGTCCATGTTTTGGTCACACAAATGCATTACATACCATCGTCTGACTTGATCATAAAGAGGTTTTAATTAAAAAGGAAAACTGCATTAGTTGCCACTTCCAACCCACCATTATAAATGCCAGTTGCCAGACAGTTATGCAGGTCCACTGGAATAAAAAATACTACCAAGGAAAAGGTATGAACACCTGATCTGCATATTTGTTCCCGGTTAGGGACTTAAAGTACAGATTCCAGAGGATCTACATGACCTAGCCACAATAGGCATTGAGAATTTTCAGATGAATAGAAATGGCAGCTTGTGTATTTCCCTTACTACAGGTTTCCTTCAACACCTTCCCATAGTAGTCTGTGGTATGCTATTTTAAAGACACCACCAAGACCATTTTTTAAGTGTGTTGGTCAGTGCGCTTTTAAGCTTAGAAAACAAGGGAAAAAGAGCATGGCAACGGAATGGCAAAAAACACTCATTTGATATTGCCCCGGGTATTTGGATAATTAACCCAACACAAGTCTCCTATGTCTTGCATGATTTATTGGTGACCAACTCATTTGCTGATGGGGCAATAAGAATTTGCCTAGAATTTTTACCTGCTGTGGAAATAGTATTAGCATCAAAATGGCAGCAGTCACATGGACACAGATGTAAACTTTACTGCTCATAAATGTATGCCTATTTACTCTAGGCTGCATTATACACTTTCAATTTTTGGACATGGAAGAATTTCCTACATATAAAAAAGCAAATAATGTTCCGTTATTACATTTGGAACACTTCCTCTTCCAGTCATTTACATACAAACAAGATAAAATA